AGAACCCAGGTGTCCTGGCTCAAGGTCACCCCTCTGTGCTAAACCACTAGCCCCCACTCCCCTTCCATAGGGCCCAGGCATCCTGGCTCCCAGCCCCCACTTACCCTGCAGCATGGGCAGCAGGAGAAGGATGGTTATTGGGGTGCAGGGCGCTCCCATGGCCCAGCAGCTCCCAGCTGGGCTTCTGCAGGGGACTAGAGGGTCGGTGAGCTGCCCCAGTGACCCCAAAGCCTGGTGTCAGCTGTCTGCCTGGCTGGGGAATGTGGCCCAGCCAGTCCTCCTATCGCCTGCCTCATCTCACCCTTCCAGGGAAACCCCCGCCCTCCCCGCACTCATGTTAACCCTCCCCGTTCCCAGCCTGCCTCCGGCCCCAGCCTCATTGGCCCCTCGCTCTGTCCCCGGGTCCTGTGCGGCTGAGAACTCCCCCACTTGTGTTTCTGTGACACTCGGCCACTGACCTTTGCAGAATAGGGGGGGCGTGTCCTGAAATGGCCAGGGAGCTTTCCCAAGGGGACTCACTGGGTTCTGCTGTGTGCATCTGTGTTTGTGTTTGTGTGTATGTGTGTGCAGCTCAACTCCAGAGTGTGTGTGTCTATAGCTAGACTTGGGTGTGTGTGTGTGTGTGACAAAGCGGGCCTGTTCTTAATGTTTCCTCTGAATATTGTGGGGGTGCCTCAGTTTCCCCTATGCAGTTCTTAAGTATCTAGGTGGTGAGATAAGGGTGAATGATCCTTGCAAAGCCCTACAGGGCAGGTGTGTGCAGGGGTCTGGACACAGAGAATGGCCGACACCCTGTTTCCTGGCAACTGATGGCCTGGGCCCTTCCCCCCTGCAAGGTGAGAGCCAAAGGGTTGGAGAACAAAGGAATCAGGTGCCCTTCTGGCCCCGGAAAGGGACAAAGCCCAGAGGAGGAGGGGCTGGAGAGAGTTTCAGTTTGAGGCTGGCTGGGGATGAGGAGTGAAGGGCAGGCGGGGTTGTCTGGCTCACTGCCCCCCAAAATGGACCCAGCTGAGGGGTCCTGTTCTCTGCACCTACAAGCTCTGTTTTAGACCGTGTTCCTGTCATCTAATAAACCTCTGGTTTCCCGGCTGGCTGAAAGTCCCGTCTGACTGCGGAGTTGGGGGGGCAGGACCCTCTGGCTTCCCCAGGAGCCCTGCCTGGGCGGACTCGCTGTGGGAAGCGCACGGAGGGGCAGAGGAGGCTGAATGCTCCGAGGTCAGACCCAGGAAGGTGGAAGCCGGGTGAGCTGTGTGTCCTGCAGACAGGCTGCTGACAGAAAGGAGACTTCCCCAGAGTCCTGCCTGGCTTCATGGGGAGCAGGTCCAGAGCATCGCCCGGGAACCCCGTGACAGTGTGCAGTTAAATTCCGATGTGTGTGTACCTGGGGGGTGCATGGGGTCCCTTGTGTTGTCTTTGTCGTGTAAATGGCCAAGGAGACAACAGCCTAAGGAAATTTCCAGTATTCTTGGGGTTATTTATTTTGTATCATTGTGGGTAATGAGAGATAGACCCATCCTAGGCAGACAGACACAATAGAGACAGATGGAGACAGTACAGACAGAAACAATCTAGATAGACACAATCTAAACAGACAGACAGACACAAAAGAGACAGGTGGTTGGATACAATAAATTAAACACACAGAATTTCAACAGAGGGGCAGACACAATCTAGAGAGAGAGAGAGAGAGAGGCAATCTAGACATTGAGATGCAATTTAGACTGACTGGCATATACTATTGCAGTTGAGACAGACAGACATATTTTTTGTTCCTAACATTCTCTGTATTATTGTAGGACCTACGATACCCTAACATGAGCCAGGAATCCTTTGTGCCAGGTGCTGCCCACACCCACAGTGGGAGCCGGTCCCTGCCCCGAAGGGCTCACAGTCTAAACAGACAAAGGCAGGAACATTCTCCCCCTTTTCCATCCAGGGAAATTGAGACTCAGAGAGATGCGGGACTTGCTCAAGGTCACACAAGGAGTCTGTGGCAGAATCTGGGATAGAACCCAGGTTTCCCAGCTCCAGGTCACCCCTCTGTGCTAAACCACTAGTCCCCACTCCCCTTCCATAGGGCCCAGGCATCCTGGCTCCCAGCCCCCACTTACCCTGCAGCATGGGCAGCAGGAGAAGGATGGTTATTGGGGTGCAGTGTGCTCCCATGGCCCAGCAGCTCCCAGCTCGGCCTCCGCAGGGGACTAGAGGATCCGTGAGCTGCCCCAGTGACCCCAAAGCCTGGTGTCAGCTGTCTGCCTGGCTGGGGAATGTGGCCCAGGAGGGAGCTGCCCCAGTGACCCCAAAGCCTGGTGTCAGCTGTCTGCCTGGCTGGGGAATGTGGCCCAGCCAGTCCTCCTATCGCCTGCCTCATCTCACCCTTCCAGGGAAACTGCTTCTTGTGCCACCAAACCCTGCCACATGTTAACCCTCCCCATTCCCAGCCTCCCACCTGCCCCAGCCGCATTGGCCCCTCGCTGCGTCCCCCGGGTCCTGTGCAGCTGAGAACTCCCCCACTCATGTTTCTGTGACACCCGGCTGCTGACCTTTGCAGAATAGGGGGATGTGTCCCAAAATGGCCTGGGAGGCTTCCCAAGGGGGCTTACCGAGTTCTGCTGTGTGCGAATTGTGTGCGTCTGTGTGTTTGTGAGTGCAGCTCAACTCCACAGGGCGTGTGTGTCTATAGCTAAACTCCAGGGTGTTTGGGTGCCTATACCTGGACTCCGGGGTGTGTATGTGTGTACCTCAGGGGTGCCTGGGGTTCCTTGTGTTGTCTTTGTTGGGTAAATGACCCAGGATAGAACAGCCCAAGGAAATTCCCAGTATTCTTGGGCTTATTTATTTTGTATCATTGAGTAATGAGAGATAGACCCATCCTAGACAGACAGACACAATCTAAACAGACAGACAGACACAACAGAGTCAGATGGAGACAGTACAGATCGACACAATCTAGATAGACACAATCTAAACATACAGACAGACACAGTATTGACAGATGATTGGATCTCACACATTAAGAGACAGACAGCCTAGACAGGCAGAATTTGAAAGGCAGACACAATCTAGACAGACAAGGCAAACTCGACAGATGGGCATGTACAATCGAGACAGACCGAAGCAGCTGAGACAGACAGACATATATTTTGTTACTAGTATTCTCTGTATTATTGTAGGACCTACGACACCCGAACATGGCTGCCCAGACCCACAGTGGGAGCCAGTCCCTTCCCCAAAGGGCTCACAGTCCAAACCAACATTTCTCAAATGTGGCCACCGTGGCCACCAGCGGATTTTTTTGCGACCACGACAGCTTCCTGGAAGGAGATGCGGGCGGGGAGGCAGATAAGAAGCTGCCTTCCCCCAGCACCCGGCTCTTGCTTCTGGATATGCTGCCTTGGTGTTTGCTGGTGCTGCTCACAGGGATCAGCGCCCTGCACCATGCAGCCTCCTCGGGAGCAGCTCTGGAGACACGTGTGGCTGGCGTGCGCAATGCCAGAGGGACCTGCAGGTGGCTGATGAGTTCCCAACCCACCTTCTTAGGGGTGGCCGAGCTTTGGGCTTCAGCCCCAGGGTGGCGGGACTCTGGCTTTGTGCATCAGCTGCAGGGGGCCGGGGCTTGGGCTTGGGCTGTCGTTAAATATCCCCCCGCTCTGCCCCCCCCCCCACATGGAAGTCATACTACGCCTATGCGCCAAAGTGCCCCAACAAATGCTGAAATGTTACATTTTAAAGTTGCCTTGTAAACGCCATACACCCCAAATGCACCCTCGTGCCTTACAGGGCAGGTGGAGTTGAAAGACATAGGCATGGCTGTCTTTCAAGTCTCAAGGCGTATTCATTGGCGAATTGCTGTGTTTACCTCTCGCCCCACTGTAGCTCCGTCAGCGGCTATCGGCTAAGGTCACCGTCAGCAAAATCACTGCGTGGTGTTTGGGCAGCTTGAGCTCGTTCCTGGCAGAAGGCAAAAGAGTTAAAAACGCGAACGGGTATCAGAAAGTTGGACAAAATATCAGTGCCAGAAAAAGAGCCTGAAGGGGGTACAGGTTTCAGAGGAGCAGCCGTGTTAGTCTGTATCCTCAAAAAGGAAAGGAGGACTTGTGGCACCTTAGAGAGTGAGAAATTTATTAGAGCATGAGCTTTCGTGAGCTACAGCTCACTTCATGGGACTGGGGAGAGGGGGCAGGCAGAGCCCACCTGGATGCAGGGGAGACTTGAATGAGGGGGGGATTTGATAGCTGCTTTCAGCTACCTGAAAGGGGGTTCCAAAGAGGATGGCTCTAGACTGTTCTCAATGGTATCAGATGACAGAACGAGGAGTAATGGTCTCAAGCTGCAGTGGGGGAGGTTTAGATTGGATATTAGGAAAAAACTTTTTCACTAAGAGGGTGGTGAAACACTGGAATGCGTTACCTAGGGAGGTGGTAGAATCTCCTTCCTTAGAGGTTTTTAAGGTCAGGCTTGACAAAGCCCTGGCTGGGATGATTTAACTGGGAATTGGTCCTGCTTCGAGCAGGGGGTTGGACTAGATGACCTTCTGGGGTCCCTTCCAACCCTTATATTCTATGATTCTATGATTCTATGACTTGGATGTGCTCTGCTGAGGGAGGCCAGGCCTGAGGGCCCTGAGAGGTCCTACGCTGTGTTCAGATGCTCAATAAACCCTCCTGTGTTACACTGGCTGAGAGTCGCTCCGGTCTGGAGATCGGGGGGGGGGGGGCATTATTCCCTCTGGGAGTGGAGGCCCCAGGGGTCCAGAGCGAGTGAACTCGCTGAGGCGCCCACGGGCGAGAGACAGGCGTGCTAAGGCTCAGAGAGGTGCGGCTCCAGGAGGTGGAGGGGCTTAACCCCCAAGACAGAGTGGACCCCCGAGAAGGGCTGTCACACTGAAGGGGGTTCCCCCCCAGGGACCGCACCGGTGTGGCCATGACCTGTGAGTCCGCGACAGCGACCTTTTCCCAAAAAAGCAAAAGAAACGATAACAAAAGACAAGAACGTGGAAAGCACCTAATTAGTGTTTCTATTCTGTTTAGCTCCAGCAAAGAATAGAAACAACTGTGCGTTATTTTTATTATTGAGTCTGCAAACAAACAAACAAACAAACAAAACAAACCCTACATAAATAAATGACAATGATGTGGACATGTGTACGTGCAGATTTATTTGTTTTTCCTAAAGTCAATTAAGTATTTTAGGAAAAAGTCTCAGAGCAGCCACTAGCAAGAGTTGGTGGCTGCACCCTGAGGACACCAAAAAACGTGTTGTCTGAACACCTGCTCCAGACAAACGCAGGTTTATTCTCCCGCTTTTACACCGAAGGAAACTGAGACTCAGAGGGACCCAGGACTTGCTCAGGGTCACGCGGGAAATCTGTGGATGAGCCAGAGATCGAAACTAGGAGGCCTGCTCCCAGCCCCCGCTCCAACCCACGAGACCTCAATCCCCTCCTAGAGCTGGAGATAGAACCCAGGAGTCCTGGCTTCCAGCCCCCCCTGCTCCAACCCACTAGACCCCCCTCCCTTCCCAGAGCCAAGGATAGAACCCAGGAGTCCTGACACCCAGCCCCCGCTTCTCTAACTCAGGGGTTCTCAAGGTTTTACGTTCTGAGGACTCCCAACCTGTTATTTCAATTCCAGGGCCCAGCGCAGGGGCGGGGTCCTGGGCTCCAGGCTTCAGCTCTGTGTGTGTGTGTGTAGATGGGGGGCGGGGATTTGGGGCTCTGGCTTCAGCCGCTAGATGTGGGCACGGGGGCTTCTGCCTCACAGGTCTGGGGGGCTTTACCCATGCAGGGCAGGGGTGAGCAGGGCTTCTGCCTCATAAGGAGCCATGGCTCAGGGCTTTAGCCCCATGGGGCCCTGGGGCTTGGAATTCTGGGCTCCCAGCTTTAGCCATATAGGGCAAGGGGGCTCATGGACCCACTGAAATGGCTTACACCCCACCAGCGGTCCGTGGGCCCCCGGTTGAGAACCACTGCTCTAACTCACTAAAACTGCCTCCCCTGCCAGAGCTGGGGAGAGAACCCAGGAGTCCTGGCTCCCAGCCCCTGTCCCCTGCTCTAACCCACTACACCCACCTCTCCTCCCAGAGCTGGGGAGAGAACCCAGGAGTCCTGGTGCACAGCTCCCCATGTGCTAACCCATTAGACCCCACTCCCCTCCCAGCCCCATAACCATGCCTTGTCTCCCCCATGGCAGGCCTGGTTGTTAAATTAACAGCTCAGAAACAAAGCAGTGGCCCCAACCCCAAGGCAGCGCTGGCCAGCAGGAGGGTGATGAGGAGCAGGGGGGTGGGCGCTGGAGTGTAGCCTGCATTAGGCTGACTCCTAATGGTGACATTCACCACCCCGGATTCCACACTGGGGAGCTGCTGCTGGATCCAGTCGGAGTAGGCGGAGACCCATGTATAGACCCCAGGGCGGTTGGGGAGGCCGCAGCCAACTCCCCAGCTCACGATGCCGATCAGGAACCAGGAGCCAGCCTCAGAACAAACAAGGGGTCCCCCAGAATCGCCCTAGAGAGAGACGGAGAACCAGTTAGACCAGTGCCCCTCAATCCCAATCTGCAGCCCCGAGGGACTACATACCTGACCCTCCCCAGCTCTGCCGGAGTCCCTCAGTCCTGACCCGCAGCCCCCTCCAATTGCAGACACGGGCTCCTGGATCTCCTGGGACTTCCCTGAATTCATTCACCTGGCAGGAGTCCTGCCCTCCTTCGGGGTAGCCAGCACACACCATGTCATCTTTGATGGGGCGCGACCCCGGGTACCCTGTGATGGGTATGCTATAGAGGTCATTGCATGTCCGGACATCTATGAGTGAGACCTGAACTTCCTGCAGAGTGCGGGGAGGAGGGAGACTTTCTGCGGAGAAAAAATACACCTCATCAGGGCCCACCTCAGCCATCTCCACCCGGGGCAGGATCATCCCTCACTGTCTGTTCCCCACCTCATCTGGGTCAATCTAGCTCGGTCAGGTGTGAATGGGAGTTTTTAAGCACAAGAGGGGTATCAGCTCCCAGCACTCTCTGCTCTAGCCCAGCAGTCCCCACTTCCCTCCCCAAGCTGGGGATAGAACCCAGGAGTCCTGGTTCCCAGCCCCCCCTGCTCTAACTCACTTGTCCCCACTAGCTTCCCAACACCTCATCCTGCCTCCCATTAGAAGATCTCTGCTCTTCGGCAGCCGTTGGGTTTTGCTTTGCCTGTTTGGGCTGCGGCCACTAGACGGCGACATGACTCATTGCAGCAGATACAGCCCTGGCTCAAGGGGTCTCCCATGTCGCCTTTGGGGGACCCCCACCCCACACAGGCCCTCCAGGCATCTTACCATCCGTCTGGACATTCCCCCAGCCGGTGACCCAGCACTGGGTGCCGGAGGCGATGGAATCATTGCGGGCGGGAAGGCAGACAGGGAGGATGTAGGCGGTGTACAGAAGGGGCGTGCTTAGGTGCACCAGGGCTATGTCGGAGGCATAGGTGGTGGGATTGTAGTTGTCGTGGATTATGACCCGTGACACAGCAGAGGTGAAGGCGTTTGCGCTCTGGATGTTCAGCTGGAATCGCCCCAGGGAAACAGAGTAACCAGCGAGGGGCAGGCTCCTAGGAGAGGGGGAGACATTGGGCAGGAGTTTGTTATTATACTCGCTACCACAGAACAGAAACGCAGCCACCTCTGGGGTGGGGCAGCTGGGGAACAGCCGCACATAATGCCACATAGGGTGACTTGCCTGGGGCTGAGATGCAGCCACCACTGGGACGGGGCAGATGGGGAACAGCCTGTGGCAAAGTGGGAATTTTCTGTAATATTTTTATGAATCCTCTATGTGCCTCAGTTTCCCTATTGGGTGCAAAAGCGTTAAGTCTCTCAGTGGGGCAGCACAGGAGAACCGGGCAGAGGGGTTATGTTACATTGCTCTCTGTTGTGGACTGAAGAAGTCCTTACAGGACCACCTGAGGCCGACCACATATCACTGGAGAAGATGAGAAGAGAATGAAAACCGCCGTGGCCAGAACACTGAGGCCCAGCAACCAAAGACCTGGAGGAAGTTGGATTCCTTACGCGTCTCCACAGGGAAGCTGAGCAGAAGCGAGCTGAGAACAAAGGACTGAGAGCTGACAGCCAGGGGATAAAGGGTTGGCCAAGGTTTGGGAGAGGCTCAGTGTCTCGGGACAAAAGAGGGCACAGGATATGTCTATACAGCACTAAAAAACCCTGACGGGTCAAGTCTTCAAGCCCGGGCTAGCTGCCCCAGGCCAACTGCAGCCCTGCCACGGGTCCCTCATTGCAGTGTAAACGTACCCCAAGAGACAGTGGCTGAAATGGAGTCCAGAGCAGGCTGGGGAGCGTTGGCTTGGCCAGATGGCCTCTATCTTTTATCTATCCCGTGGTTTCTCTGGGCTCACCTAAGGATTTCCCGGAGCCGTGGCCCAGTTGATTAATTAACCGGACCCTGGTATGACAAGGCTGCCTGGCGTCACTGCAAATCCTGGCTGAGGTGCACAGGTCCCTGAAGAGCAGACAAGCTCCACCGGGGATCGGTCTCCCTTGGACTCGCTGGGCAGAGCTCATGAATTGAAGCAGGAAGCCCGGAGCCTAGAGACTCAGTCATGGAGTGGGTGGGGCTGTGGGGCCGACCCCGAGGGCAAAGTGGGACCCCAAGGGGGTCTGGCACACTGAAGGGTTCCTCCAAGGGATTGTTTAGAAGCTGGGCTATAGCCGCACAGTGACACTGCACAGGGATGCTCTCCCCCCCATCCCCGGCCCTCTCTGAGATGCAGCCACCTCTGGGGTGGGACAGCTAGGGGACAGGCTGGGGGTACTCACAGACTGAAGCAATGAGCTGCAGACACCACCCATTCTCCCATGATGAGGGACCCTCCGCAGATGTGGACTCCATTGTATCGGATGCTGGCCTGCCAGGGCCAAGCCCCGTCCCGGGCATTCTGCCCTCCTACAATGCGGCTGGAGGTCACTGACTGCCCGCAGGCTGGGGAGAAAAGTGGGGAAGGATGTGAATAGAAACCAGGAGTCCTGGCTCCCAGCTCCCCCTCGCTCTAACCCACCAGACCCCACTCCCCTCCCAGAGCTGGGGATAGAACCCAGGAGTCCTGGCTCCCAGCCCGCCCCCGCTCTAACCCACCAGACTCCACTCCGTTCTCATAGCCAGCGATTGAAACCAGAAGTCCTGACTTACAGTCCCCCCAGCTCTATCCACTAGACCCCACTTCCCTCCCCTCCAAGAGCTGGGGATAGAAAGTGTCCAGATTCCTTACTTGACTGGAACTCCACAGCAGCTAGAAGAGAAAGAGAGGGATGAATGAGGTGTGAAAACCACACACGGCCTGACCCCTCCAGCAGGGGGCAGCGCTGCACCCACCTACTCACGCACACACCCACACACAGACACACACACACACATGATTTCCACAGGCAGATCCCTGAAATTTCTCCTCTCACAACCCCACCTGGCCCTCTTCCTCCCATGGCCTGCCCCCATGCTTCTCATGGGTCCCCAGCCTTCTCCCATGGAGTGGGATGGTTCTCTGGCCTTGGGCGTGACCCCCCAGGAAGTGAGGTATGTAGGGGGACATAGTCTGATACAGGCTTTCCCCCTCTGCCTGAGATTCCCCACAGAGAGCTCAGACCCTAGATCGGGGTGGGCAAACTACAGCCTGGGGGCCCTATCTACCCTTCAGATGTTTTAATTCGGCCCTCGAGGTCCTGCTGGGGAGCGGGGTCCGGGGGGCCAAGTGGCTCCCAGAAGCAGCAGCATGTCTCCCCTCTGGCTCCTACGCGTAGGGGCAGCCAGGGGGCTCCACACTCTGCCCCTGACTCAAGCTCCACCCCTCACAGCTCCCATTGGCCAGCAACCATGGCCAATGGGAGCTGCGGGGGAGGCACCTGCGGACAGTGCAGCGCGTAGAGCCGCCTGGCCACGCTTAAGCATAGGAGCCGGAGGGAGGACATGCCACTGCTTCTGGGAGCTGCTTGAGGTAAGTGCCACCTGGAGCCTGCATCCCTGACCTCCTCCCGTGCCCCAACCCCCAGCCCCGATCCCCCTCCCACCCTCTGAACCCCTCGGCTCCAGTCTCCTGCACCCCAGAGCCTGCACCCCCAGCTGGAGCCCTCACCCCCCCACCTGCACCCTAACTCCCTGCCCCAGCCCAGAGCCCCCTCCAGCACCCTGAACTCCTCATTTCTGGCCCCACCCTGGAGCCCATGCCCCCAGCCGGAGCCTTCACCCCCTCCCACACCCCAACCCTCAATTTCATGAGTATTCATGGCCTGCCATACAATGTCCATATCCAGATGTGGCCCTTGGGCCAAAAAGTTTGCTCACCCCTGCCCTAGATCCAGGGTTTCTTCCCCATAACTGCCCCCTATGGATGATGGGGGAAGGGCCCATTCACTCAGCCATGGTTGTGCATCCCCCGCTCAACCTCGATGAACTATTCCCTGCCCCATGCCCCACACATTCACCACAGCCCCACTTATCCATCCCCTCCTCTGCTCCCATGCCTTACATCACTCTCCCCTTCCTTTGCCACCCACAACCTACCTTCCCACAGGCACTCGCCCAGCCCACCCGAAACCATCTCCCCTTTCCCTTACCCCTCACTTCCATCCCCTCCTGCCCAATGTAAGTGCTGAGAACCCCACCCCTGCCCTTTTCCTCTGGAAACCCACAGAGGGCAGAGTCCTCCAGCAGGGAGTGCCACAAGTTATTGGCAGAGGGAATACTTCTTCATGGATAGCTCCATCCCACTTGTGCTTGAAGGTTTGAGGGACAGAAACCCACTCCCCTCACAGGGTTGGGGAGAGAACCCAGGAGTCCTGGATCCCAGCACCCTCTGCTCTAACCCACTAGCGACCACTCTCCTCCACCCCCACACAGTCCCTGTTCTGTCCCTTTCTGATCCTCATCCCTCATCCCAGCAGATTCCCAAGGTCAGGACCCCAGCAGACCCTGCACTCACCCTCCAGCAGGGGCAGCAGCAGGAGGGCGGCCAGCAGGCAGCTGAGAACACTCATGATACCCGTTTCCCCAACTCCAGCTGGCTCCTCCAAGGGCTGGGACCATATCCCAGACTGGGAGGGAAAAGTCACTGGCTGCAATTTACAGGTAACAGGTCACATTCATAAACAGAGCTATAAAACCACACGGAAGGTAAATTCATGAGAGGTGCCAATGGCAGCTCCACCCTCCCAGAGCTGGGATAGAACCCAGGCATCCTGGCTCCCATCCCCCCTCCCACTTGCTAGTAGACCTCACTCTCCTTGCAAGTGAACACAGGAATGCAACCCACTGGCCCCTACTCCCCTCCCATACGACTCAGGCATCCTGGCTCCCAGCCCCCACTTACTCTGCAGCGTGGGTAGCAGGAAACGAATGGTTCCTGGCTTACAGGGTATTCCCAGTAACCCTTCCGCCAGGTGCAGCCGGCAGCAACCGGAGCTGCGTTCAATATCTAGGGGTTTCTTTTCAACAGTACAACACAGAACCGGCTCAAGCCACCACCCAGTGACCAGGGAAATTTACATCCCACCCCTGGGTGCCTCTGAGAGGCAATATTTCCCCAATCGCAATCACAGAGTCTGAGTGTAGAAAAGAAACTTTTAGTGAAAGGAGAGAAGTCACGCAACATTAATAAGGGAAAATGCCACAAGCAGAATTCATAATCATAAACCTGTGAACAGGATGCCCACCCCAGACTGCATGGGGCAGTGCCCTCCACCTCATGTTCATCAGTCTACAGCCAAAAGTGCCTTTCCTGTGCCCCGCTTTGCTGCCTCACTCCACCCCACTCACAGTGCTTGTCCTGGGTCAGACAGGACCCAGGGTTGAGAGGTACATCTGTGTGAGTTCACTTCCCACCTCTGGGAAGAAGGCACCTTGCTTGCTCTGCCATCTGAGTGCTTGCTCTGGCTGGCTGCCCTGCCGGCCACTTGTCCACCAGCTGACTGTCAGTCACCTTCTGCTGGCACCTGCTTCTCTGCTGTGACCTCTGCAGGTCAGTCTTTTATTGACTGGCAGCTTTTTGCAGACACACTGCCCCACCACCAGTGATTTCAGCTCTCATTTAAGCACTCTAAGATAACAAAATGCTCCTAATGAACTTCAAACAGTAAGCGGAAACAGGTTAAACCAGACTGAGAAATCTGAGGGAGAGACCACACCTCCTGGCGGGGACATATGTCCCCACCCCCTTTTACTTTCACAGGCCTCTGGCATTTGAGCCCCTGGCTTAACAAGGTCCCTTCAGTGGAGGGTGACCCCCTCATTCGGGACAGGTTAAGCACAGTTCTGCTCCCCTTTATTCATACAATAAAGGCAACAATATTAGTAAGAGCATTTCACTACTGTTGCATTCAGTACTAAAGTGATTTGTATCCCAACACCAGCCAGAGTTGATCACTTTGAAAACACAGCTCCTGTCTGCTGGGTACCTAGGCAGAGTAGATGTGGTCATGTAAATTCAATTTGCTCCTGAAGTCTCTCCCCATTCCCAGCTGTCAGGGGAGAGCTCATTCAGACCCTGCTTATACATGGCACAGCAGCTCCCAGCTCTGCTTCCGCAGGGGAGTAGATGGTCGGTGAGCTGCCCCAGTGACCCCAATCCCCAGTGTCAGTTGTCTGCCTTGCCGGGGAATGTCACCCAGCCAATCCCCCCATCGCCTGCCTCTTCTCACCGTTCTAGGGAAACCGCTTCTTGGGCCTCCACCCCTCATCCCTGTTTTCACTCTCCCTGTATCCAGCCTGCCCCACGTCCCAGCTGCATTGGCCCCTCATTCCTTTCCTAGGTCCTGTGCAGCTGACAACCCCCGCCCCCTTGTGTTTTCACAACATGATGCCGCTGGCATGTGCAGAATGGGGTAATGTTTCCTGAAATGGTCAGGGAGGCTTCCCCAGGGGATTCACCTGGTTCTGCTGTGGGTGTCTGCGTGTGTGTGTGTGTGTGTGTACCTCAGAGGTGCATGGGTCCTTTGTGTTCTCTTTGTTGTGTAAATGACCAAGGACAGAACAGCCCAAGGAAATTCACAGTATTCTTGGGGTTATTTACTTTATATCATTGTGGGTAATAAGAGATAGACCCGTCCTCGACAGACAGACACAATATAGACAGATGGTGACAGTACAGACAGACACAATCTAGATAGACACAATCTAAACCAACAGACGGACACAATAGAGACATATGGTCATATGCAACACATTAGGAGACAGACAGCCTAGACAGGCAGAATTTAGACAGAGGGGCAGAAACAATCTTGACAGACAGACAAGGCAAACTAGACAGACAGGCATATACAGTCTACACAGACAGATGCAGTTGAGACAGACAGACATATCTTTTATTACTAGTACTCTCTGTATTATTGTAGGACCTACGACACCTGAACATGAGCCAGGAATCCTTTGAGCCAGGTGCTGCACAGACTACAACTGAGATCAGTGCCCCATTGTGCTGGCACTGTCCAGACCCACAATGGGAGCCGGTCCCTGCCCTGAAGGGCTCACTTTCTAAATAGACAAAGGCAAGTTTATTCTCCCCCTTTTACATCTAGGGGAACTGAGACTCAGAGAGACCTGGGACTTGCTCAAGGTTACACAGGGAGTCTTTGGCAGAGCCAGGGATAGAACCCAGGAGTCCTGCTCCCAACCCCTGCTCTAACCCACCAGATCCCAATCCCCTCCAAAAGCCAGTGATAGAACCCAGGAGTCCTGACACCCAGTCCTCTCCAGCAATCACTAACCCACTGTAATGAGCCTGGTTCTGGCGGGACCCAACTGAGAGTGCCAATTCAGGACAAATTTCTTAAAGCAGGGCAGTTACAGCCCAAGGCTGGGTTTCTTTGCACACCAAGGCAAACCAAACCAGCCAGACTGAGAAGATTTTGGTTTTACCCCACTGGCTAACCACAAGTCACACAAGCAATTCCCTCAGACTCTCCAGTTTCCCAGTGTCACCACCAGTGCCCCTCGTTAAGGGGACGAATGGTTATGAAAACCAATACCCCAGTAAAAGAACAAAGGTTCTCTCGATCCCAAAGGACCAAGCCCCAGACTCAGGTCAATATACAAGTCAGATCTTACCCACAAATCACGCTGTTGCCAATCCTTTAGACTCTAAAATCTAAAGGTTTATTCATAAAAGGAAAAAGACACAGATGAGAGCTAGAAAAGGTTAAATGGGATCAATGACATACTGTAATGGCCAAGTTCTTGGTTCAGGCTTGTCGCAGTGATGGAATAAATGGCAGGTTCAAATCAAGCCTCTGGAGAACATCCCCAGCTGGGACGGGCCATTCAGTCCTTTGTGTAGAGATTCCGTGTGTAGCAAAGTCCCTGCAGAGGTAAGAAGCAGGATTGAAGGCAAGATGGAGATGAGACATCAGCCTTTTATGGTCTTTTCCAGGTGTAAGGACACCTTTTTGTTCTTACTGTGGAAAATTACAGCAAAATGGAGTTTGGAGTCACATGGGCAAGTCCATGCATACTTTGCTGAGTCACAAGGTGTATCTGCCTTCTCTCAATGGGTCAATTGGGTCGCTGCTGGTCTTTAATGGGCCATCAAGCAGGCTAGGCCAAGCTGACACCAACTTGTCTGAGGTGTCACCCAGAAGCATAGCACAAGTTTGAAATACAGACGGTACAGAGCCAATATTCATAACTTCAACTACAAAAATGATACACACATATAGAAAGCATCATCATGACCAGAAAACCATAAGCTTGCCACAGACACCTCAAACTACAACCTTTGGACAATATTTGCTGCAAATGTATAACAGTGGTTGCAACAGTGATCTACACGGTTACAGATTCTGTCAATCACGTCACACCCACTCCCCTCCCAGCCCTATAATAATGGGTTGTAATTCTGATGTTTTTTTTTTTTCCTTGGCAGGGATGACTGTTAAATTAGCAGCTTAGAAAGCGGTGGCACCATCCCCGGGACAGCGCTGGCCAGCAGGAGGGTGCCGAGAAGCAGGGGGGTGGGCGCTGGAGCGTAGCCGGCATTAGACTGAGTGCTAATGGTGACATTCACCACCCCGAATGCCACACTGGGGAGCTGCTGCTGGATCCAGTCGGAGTAGGCGGAGACCCGGATATAGACCCCTGGACGGTTGGGGAGGCCGCAGCCAGCTCCCCAGCTCACGATGCCAATCAGGAACCAGGAGCCAGCCTGCGAACAAACGAGGGGTCCCCCAGAATCGCCCTAGAGAGAGAAAGAGAATTAGTGAGACTGGTGCCCCTCAGTCCTGACCTGGTGTCCCTCAAGCCCGACCCACAGCCCCCTACTATTTCAGCCCCGGGGTCTGGATTTCCTGGGACTTCCCTGAATTCATTCACCTGGCAGGAGTCCTTCCCTCCTTCAGGGTAGCCAGCACACACCATGTCATCTTTGATGGGGCGCGACCCCGGGTACCCTGTGATGGGTATGCTATAGAGGTCATTGCATGTCTGGGCATCGATGAGTGAGACCTGAACTTCCTGCAGAGTGCGGGGAGGAGGGAGACTTTCTGCGGAGAAAAAATACACCTCATCAGGGCCCACCTCAGCCATCTCCACCCGGGGCAGGATCATCCCTCACTGTCTGTTCCCCACCTCATCTGGGTCAATCTAGCTCGGTCAGGTGTGAATGGGAGTTTTTAAGCACAAGAGGGGTATCAGCTCCCAGCACTCTCTGCTCTAGCCCAGCAGTCCCCACTTCCCTCCCCAAGCTGGGGATAGAACCCAGGAGTCCTGGTTCCCAGCCCCCCCTGCTCTAACTCACTTGTCCCCACTAGCTTCCCAACACCTCATCCTGCCTCCCATTAGAAGATCTCTGCTCTTCAGCAGCCATTGGGCTTTGCTTTCCCTGTTTGGGCTGCGACCACGAGACGGCGACATGACTAATTGCAGCAGATACAGCCCTGGCTCAAGGGGTCTCCCATGTCGCCTTTGGGGGACCTCCACCCCACACAGGCCCTCCAGGCATCTTACCAGCCGTCTGGACTTTCCCCCAGCCGGTGACCCAGCACTGGGTGCCGGAGGCGACGGAATCACTGCGGGCGGGAAGGCAGACAGGGAGCATGTAGGCGGTGTACAGAAGGGGCGTGCTTAGGTGCACCAGGGCTATGTCGGAGGCATAGGTGGTGGGATTGTAGTTGTCGTGGATTATGACCCGTGACACAGCAGAGGTGAAGGCGTTTGCGCTCTGGATGTTCAGCTGGAATTGCCCCAGGGAAACAGAGTAACCAGCGAGGGGCAGGCTCCTAGGAGAGGGGGAGACATTGGGCAGGAGTTTGTTATTATACTCGCTACCACAGAGCAGAAACGCAGCCACCTCTGGGGTGGGGCAGCTGGGGAACAGCCGCACATAATGCCACATAGGGTGACTTGCCTGGGGCTGAGATGCAGCCACCACTGGGACGGGGCAGATGGGGAACAGCCTGTGGCAAAGTGGGAATTTTCTGTAATATTTTTATGAATCCTCTATGTGCCTCAGTTTCCCTATTGGGTGCAAAAGCGTTAAGTCTCTCAATGGGGCAGCACAGGAGAAACAAGGGGGAGAGGGGTGTCATTGCTGTCTGGCACGGACTGACTGGGTCATTGCAGGCCCAACTGGGGCCAACCCTATATCAATGGGGAATCTGAGGAGAGAATAAAAACCGCAATAGCCGGAACATTGAGACCTAGCAACCAAAGAGCCCGAGGAAGGTGGATTCCTTCCGTATCTCCACAGGGATCTGAGCAGAAGCTAGCCGAGAACAAAGGACTGAGAGCTGACAGCCAGGGGATAAAGGGTTGGCCAAGGTTTGGGAGAGGCTCAACGGATATGTCTACACTGCACTAAAAACCCTTGCCATGCCAAGTCTTCAAGCCCTGGCTAGCTGCCCGAAGCCAGCCGCAGCCCTGCCACGGTCCCTCATTGCAGTGTAAATGTACCCCAAGAGACAGCTGGTGAAATGGAGTCCAGAGCAGGCTGGGGAGCGTTGGCTTGGCCAGATGGCCTCTATCTTCACTGTGGTTTCTCTGGGCTCACCTAAGGATTTTCCGGAGCCGTGGTCCAGTTGATTAATTAACCGGACCCTGGTATGACAAGGCTGCCTGGCGTCACTGCAAATCCTGGCTGAGGAGCACAGGCCCCTGAAGAGCAGAGAAGCCTCCACCGGGGATCTGTCTCCCTTGGACTCGCTGGGCAGAGCTCATGAATTGAAGCAGGAGGCCCGGAGCCCAGAGACTCAGTCATGGAGTGGATGGGGCCGTGGGGCCGACCCCGAGGGCAGAGTGAGACCCCACCGGGGTCTGGCACACTTAAGGGTTCCTCCAAGGGATTGTTTAGAAGCTGGGCTATAGCCATACAGTGACACTTCACAGGGATTCCCTCCCCCCAGCCCGCTCTGAGATGCAGCCACCTCTGGGGTGGGACAGCTAGGGAACAGGCTGGGGTACTAATGATCTGGAGGATGGGGTGGATTGCACCCTCTGCAAGTTTGCAGGTGACACTAAACTGGGAGGAGTGGTAGGGATAGGATACAGAGGGACCTAGACAAATTGGAGGATTGGGCCAAAAGAAATCTGATGAGGTTCAACAAGGACAAGTGCAGAGTCCTGCACTTAGGACGGAAGAATCCCATGCACCACTACAGACTAGGGACCGAATGGCTTGGCAGCAGTTCTGCAGAAAAGGACCTAGGGGTGACAGTGGACGAGAAGCTGGATATGAGTCAACAGTGTGCCCTTGTTGCCAAGAAGGCCAATGGCATTTTGGGCTGTATAAATAGGGGCATAGCCAGCAGATCGAGGGACGTGATCGTTCCCCTCTATTCGACATTGGTGGGGCCTCATCTGGAGTACTGTGTCCAGTTTCGAGCCCCACACTACAAGGAGGATGTGGAAAAACTGGAAATTGTCCAGCGGAGGGCAACAAAAATGATTAGGGGGCTGGAGCACATGACTTATGAGGAGAGGCTGAGGAACTGGGATTGTTTAGTCTGCGGAAGAGAAGAACGAGGGGGGATTTGATAGCAGCTTGCAACTACCTGAAAGGGGGTTCCCAAGAGGATGGTTCTAGACTATTCTCAGTGGTAGAAGAGGACAGGACAAGGAGTAATGGTCTCAAGTTGCCGTGGGGGAGGTTTAGGTTGGATATTAGGAAACACTATTTCACTAGGAGGGTGGTGAAGCACTGGAATGGGTTCCCTAGGGAGGTGGTGGAATCTCCTTCCTTAGAGGTTTTTAAGGTCCGGCTTGACAAAGCCCTGGCTGGGATGATTTACTTGGGGATTGGTCCTGCTTTGAGCAGGGGGTTGGACTATCATTCTACTCACTGATTGAAGCAATGAGCTGCAGACACCACCCATTCTCCCATGATGAGGGACCCTCCGCAGACGTGGACTCCATTGTATCGGATGCTGGCCTGCCAGGGCCAAGCCCCGTCCCGGGCATTCTGCCCTCCTACAATGCGGCTGGAGGTCACTGACTGCCCGCAGGCTGGGGAGAAAAGTGGGGAAGGATGTGAATAGAAACCAGGAGTCCTGGCTCCCAGCTCCCCCTCGCTCTAACCCACCAGACCCCACTCCCCTCCCAGAGCTGGGGATAGAACCCAGGAGTCCTGGCTCCCAGCCCGCCCCCGCTCTAACCCACCAGACTCCACTCCGTTCTCATAGCCAGCGATTGAAACCAGAAGTCCTGACTCACAGTCCCCCCAGCTCTATCCACTAGACCCCACTTCCCTCCCCTCCAAGAGCTGGGGATAGAAAGTGTCCAGATTCCTTACTTGACTGGAACTCCACAGCAGCTAGAAGAGAAAGAGAGGGATGAGTGAGGTGTGAAAACCACACACGGCCTGACCCCTCCAGCAGGGGGCAGCGCGGCACCCACCTACTCACACACACACCCACCCACACACACACACAATTTCCACAGGCAGATCCCTGAAATTCCTCCTCTCACAACCCCATCAGGCCCCCTTTGAGCCATGGCTTGCCCCCATGCCTCCCATGGGTCCCCAACCTCCTCCCATGTGGTGGGTTCTCTGGCCTGGGGTATGACCCCCCCCCAGGAAGTGAGGTATGTAGGGGGACATAGTCTGATACAGGATTTTCCCCTCTGTCTGAGATTCCCCACAGAGAGCCCAAATCCTAAATCCAGGTTCTCTGCCCCATAACTTCCCCTCCATGGGTGATGGGGGAAGGGCCCATTCTCTCAGTCATGGTTGTGCATCCCCCACGCAACCTCCATGAGCTATTCCCTGCCCCATGCCCCACACTTTCACCCCCGCCTCACTTATCCATCCCCTCTCCTCCCCCCGAGCCCTACATCATCCTCCCCTTCCTTTGCCACCCACAACCTATCCTTCCCACAGTCCCTCGCCCTGCCCACCCAACACCATCTCCTCTTTCCCCTACCCCTCACTTCCATCCCCTCCTGCCCAGTGTAAGTGCTGAGAACCCCACCCCTGCCCTTTTTCTCTTGAAACCCACAGAGGGCAGAGTCCTCCAGCAGGGAGTGCCACAAGTTATTGCAGAGGGAGTTATTCCTTATGGGCTTGAAGATGTGAGGGACAGAAACCCATTCCTTTCCCAGAGGTGGGAATTAGACCCAGGAGCCCCCCCCTCGCCCCGCTCTAACCCACTTGACCCCATTCCCCTCCCAGAGCTGGGGATAAAACCCAGGAGTCCTGGCTCCCAGCCCCCCCTGCATCCCTGTTCTAACCCTTTCCAATCCTCATCCTTCATACCAGCACACTTCCACAGTCAGAAGGCGTCAAATGCGAGGACCCCAGCAGACTCCTCACTCACCCTCCAGCAGGGGCAGCAGCAGGAGGGTGACCAGCAGGCAGCTGAGAACACCCATGACAGCAGTTCCCCCAACTCCAGCTGGCTGGGACCAAAGCACAGACCGGGAGGGCAAAGTCACTGGCTGCAATTTACCGGCTACACGTCACATTCATAAACAGAGCTATAAAACCACAAGGCGGGTAAGTTCACGAGAGGTACAGATGGCCGCCCCCACCCAGCTGGGATAGAACCCAGGAGTCCTGAATTCCAGCACCCCCTCCGCCAACCCACTAGCCCACAGTCCTCTCCTATAGGATTAATGGCATTGAACAAGTGAGCACCAAGACACAGTAGATGGCTTTCTGGCTTTGGGGGAAGAACCAACCGAAGCAAGGGGACTAGATAGAAGCAGCAAAGGGGCAATGAATATATCCACCCGGAGATCACACGACTGGGAGCCCAGGGCTGGGACAGCAGGGGGCTGCGAGACAGGAGTGAGCAGAGCTTGTGGCTAACAGAGGAGTTCAACTCCATCTGGGTTTAAATATTAAACCTTGTATTTGCTTTGAACAAACTGTTTCAGGTTTAATGGAGTGAGACAGAAACAAGGAAATAACTCAATGAATGACCTCTGGGAGGGGAGTGGGGTCTGGTGGGTTAGAACATGGGGGGGGGGGAGCTAGGACTCCTGGGTTCTATGCCCAGCTCTGGGAGGGGAGTAAAGTCTAGTGGGCTAGAGGAGGGGAAGCTGGGAGCGAGGACAGCTGGGTTCTCTCCCCGGCTCTCGGAAGGGAAGTTCCCTTGTTACCTGTCACCACCTGCTCTTCATTTTCATACCTCTGTTTACGAAACTGGGTGTATCTGTATTTCCCTCCCCTCAGCTTTCCCTGTCCCATTCAGGATTCTGTCCCAGGTGCAGCTGGAGGGCCGTGGGTCATGAGAGGTCTAATCTGCCTGCTGGCCATTCGGAGGCTGCTGGAGCTGCCCATGCTGGAAGGTGAGTGGTTGGCTGGGGACCTGGGAAACAGCCCTTAGAAGTGAGACCACATGGGTGGGGAGACAGACGTTGGGGAGGGAAGACAGGATAGAGGTTATGTGCCAGGCAACCAGGAGCCAGGACTCCTGGGTTCTCTCCCCAGCTCTGGAAGGGGAGTGCGGTCTAGTGGGTTACAGCAGGGGGGGCTGGGAGTGAGGACTCCTGGGTTCTATTCACTCTGCTCCCCAGCTTTCTCCTCAGCTTGTGAGCAGCCAATGGAATCTCCCCGCATTGTGGGGGGTAATGATGCCAAGAATGGGTCCTGGCCCTGGCAGGTCAGCATCCGTGAAGGCAGCAACCATGTCTGTGGAGGGTCCCTCATTGCTTCAATGGGTGAGTAACCCAGGTGGGAGCATCCCTGTGCGGCTGTTCCCCAGCTGCCACATCCCAGAGGCAGCTGCTTCTCAGTGCCAGGTGAACCATCCCCATGCAGCGTCACTGTACGGCCATTACCAAGCTGTCCCACCCCAGAGATGGCTGCATCTCATTGCCAGGCGAGCCAGCCCTGTGTGGCGTTATGGGCTGCTGTTCCCCAGCTGCCCTGCCCCAGAGGCAGCTGCATCTCAGCCTCAGGATAGCCATCCACATCGGTTGTCATTATGCAGCTGGTACCCAGCTGCCCCACCCCAGAGTTAGCTGCATCTGATTGCTGGTTGAACCACCTTTATATTCCTCTTGTATCTTGCAGGGACACGTCTGCCTATCATGTGAACCTAGGGGAATATCAGCTCCTGAACCCCTCTGAAAGTCTGGTATCTTTTCCCATCAAGAAGATTTACCGCCATCCCAACTACACTGATATCAGGTCCAGCAGTGACATTGCACTTGTGGAGCTGGAAACCCCTGTGAACTTCAACAGAGTTATCCGCCCCATCTGCCTTCCGGCCTCCTCTGTGGAGTTCCCCATGGGCATGGAGTGCTGGGTGACCGGCTGGGGTGACACTAAGTACGGAGGTGAGGGGGTGAATAGGGGGCTGTGGGGAAATGGTAGGACTTTGGGGGTTAATTGGGGAGAAGGTTCTAGGGTTCCCCTGAATGTTGACTGGAAAACAGCTTTGGGGCATAATTCTTCCATAATCTTAACCATAACCCCTAACCCTAACCCTAATTCCTAATACTCACCTGAACCCTAACCCTACTTTGAACTGTAATGATAACCCTAAATCAAAATCAAGCACAATGACCCACTTATAACCTTAACCCAAACCAGACCCCAAACCTCCACCCCCCAACCTAAAACTTAACCCTACATTTAATTTAAATGCTCACCCTACAGCTAAAGCTAAAACTCTATGCTACCTTTAACCTGAACCCTATCTGTATCCCTTAACCCTAACCCTAGCCACTCAAACTTAATACTTAACCCTAGATCTAAACCCTTAAACTCAACCCTAACCCTTAATTATCACCCTACATAACCTTAACTCCCACCCTTAACCCTACCCCAACACTAAACCTACCCCATCCTTTCCCCCTACAATAGCCCTTATCCTTAATATTCAGATTAACAGTTATCCTCACCTTACACTTAAAGATAACACCATACTCTAGCTCCCACCCCCACCCTAACCTTTATGGTCCCTGATCTAACCTTTAAATCTAACCATAACCCTTACTTTTAAACCTAACACAACCTTATCTCCAAAATAATCCTTAAGCCTAACTATTAATCCTTAACTATTAACCATAAAACTTAACTCTTGACCTTAACCCTAAATCCAAATCTATCACTATACCCCTGCTATACCCTTAACTCTAACCATAACCTTACGATTGATTTCAATGCTAACAGTAAATCAAACTCTAACATTATACCACAGGTACACCCTTAACCCTAGCCATAACCCTAGCCCCATTAAGGGCATTACTAACCCTAAGTCAAAATCTAGCGCTATACCCCTGTTATACCCCTACCCCTACTCCCCTAACCTTATTTTTAACTGCAACACCAACCGTAAATCCTAGATAAGCATAACCCTACTTTAACTGCAATGCTAATCTAAATAAAAATCTAGCTCTCTACCCCTGATATACCCTTACCCCTAAACATAACCCTGACCCCAGTCCCAACCCTAAAAGTTAACCTTAAATTTAATGTAAATGCTTGCCCTACCGCTAAAGCTAAAGCTATACACTAACCCTTAATACTAACCTTTAACCTTAATCTTATCTCTAGCCCTTAAATTTAACCCTAACCCTAACGACTAATCTTAACTTTCAACACTGAATCTAACCCTTAAACTCAACCCTACCACTGAATTCTCACCCTAACACAACCTTAACCTTGAACAAGTGTTAGAGTAATCCTAACACTTACCCTAACCTTACCCCCTACCAATAACCGGCTTTCTTAAACTTCAGGTTAACAGTTATGCTCACCCTACACCTAAAGATAACACTACACCCTAACCCTAACCCCAGTCCTAAACTTTATGGTCCCTGATCATATTTAGGTTTAGCAGAATTTGACTTTTTTTTATAATTTAGATGGATGATATTAATGTTTATTTTTAAGTATTTCTCCCCATTTTTATCAATTTAAATGTTCACAGTTGTGGGAAATTATAGGGGGAGAGTCAGACACTAATTATTTAATTCCAGTAGATGATGAGATTCATAAGGTGAAAGCTTTGTTAACGCTGCATAATTACCTGCTGCACGTGCCCCGGGAATGCAGACACCAGCTGTTTTAGTAGAACTGTCACTACGTGCTCTATGTAGCATACATTACCACCTGTTTTATACGCATTGAGGTGTGACTACAATGAGTTCTCAAGCGGCACTTTCCTTACATTGCCTCTATGTAAATTGCAGTTATTATCAGTGGAAATATTTTGTCTTCCCTTTGTGTGTGCTTGGTGAAATTGACAGTTACCGATCAAAACTGAATCATTCCAAACCTACCTAAATCAAACCTTTTCATTTAACCCTAACCCTTAATTCTAACCCTAACACAACCTTAACACGAACCCTTTAACCCTTCTCTATTAACCATGAAACTTAACTCACTTTAACCCTAACACAAACACTAAATCTTGCTGTACCCCACCAATAACCCTCATCCTAGACCTTCAAGTTAACAGTTATGCTCACCCTACACCTAAAGATCATAGAATCATAGACTTTAAGGTCAGAAAGGACCATTATGATCATCTAGTCTGACCTCCTGCACAATGCAGGCCACGGAATCTCACCCACCCACTCCTGTAAGAAACCTCTAACCTATGTCTGAGCTATTGAAGTCCTCAAATCATGGTGATTTCAAGGTGCAGAGAATCCTCCAGCAAGTGACCTGTGCCCCACGCTGCAGAGGAAGGCAAAAAACCCCCAGGGCTCTGCCAATCTGCCCTTCAGGAAAATTCCTTCCCAACCCCAAATATGGCGATCAGCTAAACCATGAGCATGTGGGCAAGACTCACCATGCAGATACCCAGGAAAGAATTCTCTGTAGTAACTCAGATCCCACCCCATCTAACATCCCATCACAGGCCATTGGGCATATCTACTGCTAATAGCCGAAGATCAATTAATTGCCAAAATTAGGATATCCCATCATATCATCCCTTCCATAAACTTATCAAGCTTAGTCTTGAAGCCAGATATGTCTTTTGCCCCCACTGCTTCCCTTGGAAGGCTGTTCCAGAACTTCACTCCTCTGATGGTTAGAAACCTGTGTCTAATTTCAAGTCTAAACTTCCTGATGGCCAGTTTATATCCTTTTGTTCTTGTGTCCACATTGGTACTGATCTTAAATAATTCTTCTCCCTCCATGGTATTTATCCCTCTGATATATTTATAGAGAGTAATCATATTTCCTCTCAGCCTTCTTTTGGTTAGGCTAAAGAAGCCAAGCTCTTTGAGTCTCCTTTCATAAGACAGGTTTTCCATTCCTCGGATCATCCTAGTAGCCTGTTTCTGTACCTGTTCCAGTTTGAATTCATCTTTCTTAAACACGGGAGACCAGAACTGCACACAGTATTCCAGGTGAGATCACACCAGTGCCTTGGATAATGATACTAAAACCTCCTTATCTCTACTGGAAATACTTCGCCTGATGCATCCCAAGACAGCATTAGCTTTTTTCACGGCCACATCACACTGACGGCTCATAGTCATCCTGTGATCAACCAATACTCCGAGGTCCTTCTCCTCCTCTGTTACTTCCAAGTGATGTGTCCCCAGCTTATAACAAAAATTCTTGTTATTAATCCCTAACTGCATGACCTTGCACTTCTCACTATTAAATTTCATCCTATTACTATTACTCCAGTTTACAAGGTCGTCCAGATCCTCCTGTAGGATATCCCGGTCCTTCTCTAAATTGGCAATACCTCCCAGCTGTGTATCATCCGCGAACTTTATTAGCACACTCCCGCTTTTTGTGCCGAGGTCAGTAATAAAAAGATTAAATAAGATTGGTCCCAAAACCGATCCCTGAGGAACTCCACTAGTAACCTCTTTCCAGCCTGACAGTTCACCTTTCAGTGTGACCCATTGTAGTCTCCCCTTTAACCAGTTCCTTATCCACCTTTCAATTTTCATATTGATCCCCATTGTTTCCAATTTAGCTAATAATTCCCCTTGTGGAACCATATCAAATGCATTACTGAAATCGAGGTAAATTAGATCCACTGCTTTTCCTTTGTCTAAAAAATCTGTTACCTTCTCAAAGAAGGAGATCAGGTTGGTTTGACATGATCTACCTTTTGTAAAACCGTGTTGTATTTTGTCCCAGTTACCCTTGACCTCAATGTCCTTAACTACTTTCTCCTTCAACATTTTTTCCAAGACCTTGCATAGTACAGATGTCACATTAATAGGTCTGTAGTTACCCAGATCACCTTTTTTCCCCGTCTTAAAGATAGGAACTATGTTAGCAATTCTCCAGTCATACGGTACAATTCCTGAGTTTACAGATTCATTAAAAATTTTTGCTAACGGGCTTGCAATTTCATGTGCCAGTTCCTTTAATATTCTTGGATGAAGATTATCTGGGCCCCCCGATTTGGTCCCATTAAGATGTTCAAGTTTGGCTTCTACCTTGGATGTGGTAATATCTACCTCCATATCCTCCTTCCCATTTGTCGTCCTACCATTATCCCTAAGCTCCTCATTAGCCTCATTAAAGACTGAGGCAAAGTATTTGTTTAGATATTGGGCCATGCCTAGATTATCCTTGACCTCCACTCCATCCTCAGTGTTTAGCGGTCCCACTTCTTCTTTCTTAGTTTTCTTCTTATTTATATGGCTATAGAAACTTTTACTATTGCTTTTAATTCCCTTTGCAAGGTCCAACTCTACATGGCTTTTGGCCTTTCTCACTTTATCCCTACATATTCTGACCTCAATAAGGTGGCTTTCCTTGCTGATCCCTCCCATCTTCCATTCCCTGTAGGCTTTCTGCTTTTTCTTAATCACCTCTCTGAGCTGCTTGCTCATCCAGCTTGGTCTACAACTCCTGCCGGTGAATTTTTTCCCCTTTCTTGGGATGCAGGCTTCTGATAGCTTCTGCAGCTTTTACTTAAAGTAATCCCAGGCCGCCTCTGCCTTTAGATCCACAAATTCTTCAGTCCAATCCACTTCCCTAACTAATGTCCTTAATTTATTAAAGTGAGCCCTTTTGAAACCAAAAACCCTAGTCACAGATCTATTTTTGTTTATCCTTCCATTTAGTTTGAACTGAATTAGCTTATAATCACTGGAACCAAGGTTGTCCCCTACAACCATTTCTTCTACGAGGTCTTCACTACTCACCAAAACCAAATCTAAAATCTAGTCGGTTCAGCAACTACTTGGTGAAGGAATCCATCAGCTATCGCATCCAGGAAAATCTGAGCCCTATTATTATTACTAGCACTTGTCCTCCAGTCTGTATCTGGGAAGTTAAAGTCTCCCATGATCACACAATTCCCATTAGTATTTACTTCATTAAAAACATTAAAAAGGGCTCTATC